TCTGCTTCCTGGGGTAGGATTGTGGATTTATGCATTTCCTTAAACCCTGGCTGTGTCAAGCACAGGGGTGAGATGAGTGAATTTTGTTCCTCGTGGCTTGGGGTCAATCAAATGTAGGCCCTGGAGGGCTTTAAAGAGTCCAGGTCCCCCCACCACTTCTCCCCCAGGCAGACAGACTGTTGCCGCCCAGCGAGGGTGCGTGGGTGTGAGCTGGCCCTGCCTCGACTCCAGACTTTGACTGCTGGTTTTTTAGTTTTAACACCTGCTCCCAACCCCCATACTTTTGGTTCAGTTCTGTCATTCCTTACCTCCTTTTCACAATGCTGTGCCTATTTCTTGGGTTGCCATGTTTAATGTCTACTGTCTGGTTTTTAAAAAATTTAAGTTCTTGCACCTGGGCCTCCTGACATCTGGGAGGATGTGGAGATCCGGCTTTGAGAACACTTCCTCCAGCACAGGTTTTTTTCCTCGCCTGGAGTCTTCTCCTCTCCCACAATGGCCAGCGTCCTAGAATGCCCTGTTTTGGACCCCTCCTACCACCTGGTGGCAGATCACTCAGTCACAGGCATTCTGCTTCCTTCCTTGTTACAGTTGTATGAGACCTAGAGACCCACAGGTGCCTCAGGGCAGCCACCCACAGGTGGGCAGCTGCTCTCTCTGTAGGGAGCCAAAGTGACGTAGTTGACTATGTCTGCCCACCCATTAGTGGGATCCCATAAGGCTAGCACCCAAGCCAAGAGCCGGCTCTCTTTAGCATGGTGAACTGGGGACCACAGTGCACATCCTGTTGGAATGGTAGCTTCACTATGGCTAGGCCCACCAGGTGCCTGGGGAAGGGCTACCGGGGCCTGGGCCATTCTAAAGACCATCACTCACTTCAAGGAGGAGTCAAAGTTTTGACTAGTAAAATGTCAATATTAGGATTTTGATCAATGAATGGCATTTATGAATTTAGTATATATAATAGCCTACATCAGACCCCTTCAGGCCATTAAGCTGGACTTTTTCAGTGGTGAAACTATCACTAAATATGATTTTAAAAATCATACCATTCATATCTGCCCACTTTCATCCAGAAACCTTCAAAACAGAACATAGAGAAGTCTTTATCTCTAAAGTCCTGACCACTGATTGATTTATTGCTATTGTTATAGAGTAATTACTAGGGGGAAAAATTACTTAGAGTTTGGATTTCTGTGGGAAAGGAACAGATTTCCCTTAGCTTTTCTAGGAGGATTTCACAGAAGGTAAGTGTTTTTTTAATGATAAATGACCAGGGAATACAATGGGTTGGAGGCCCTTGCAAGATTTCTGTCAAAACTTCAAATAAAAGTAGGTGTCAACCACTGTACTCATTCCTCCCCATGAGAAGGGATAACCTGGTTTCCAGCTAATGCTTTCAGAGCCTTCTGCTGATTTTCTGCACATCTCCCGACAGCAGGAAGTCTGAATAAACCTGGCAGTGCTGGGGCTGGAATGTGGGGTTCGCTGCAGGGGAACTTCTGTGCAGTCTCACTGCTGGTGGAACCTCTAGCTTTGGAGTCCCAGCTCGGGTGTCAGGGGCGGCCTGGCGTGCTCGGGGTACTGACACATGATGCCACTGGAGGACATGGTTTCGCATTATTTCAAGGAGACAGAAAGGCTATTTCCTAAAAACAAAGCCAGGACACAGTGTCGTGTTTTCCCCTACCCTGGAAGGTAGGCATGAGCACCTAACTTGAGACAGCGGTACCCTCCGGACGATCAGATCTGCACCTCTCAGCAGTGCTCTGTGGCATTTTTGTTCTAGTGTCTTCTAAAGGAATATAGTGCCCGTTGCACAGATAGCAAGCAGCACTTGCTGAGGGACCAAGGCGAGAATGATGGGCAGTTGATCTCCTATGAGGTCCCCGCCCAGCCTCGCCCCACCACTGCCCAGAGCGCTTTGCCCCAGGGCTTCCGTGGGGAGCTGCTCCTGCGGAGGCTGGTCCCCAGTGGGCTATATCTGTGTGGTCACGGTTTGTCAGCTCAAAGGACTCCCTTCTCATGTGATGTTTGCAACCATCTGTTTCTAATTTGTAGAATTCAACAATCTGCCCCCTTTATTTTGAAAATGGTACTGAGCCCCCAGGGTTAGTCAGTGGGTCCTGTGAGTGGGTTTCTGCTGGTGGAAGCCCTCCCTGGACTGAGGACACACAGGCACACGGGGCTGTGCATGTCCAGGTGGGCCATTTCTGCCGAAAGTGAGTCACTCACTGGACTCCTTTTTGCCTCCCACCCTAAGAAGGCTCAAAAATCTGTTCCCTGCCTGTCTGGTCTCCAGTGTGCCTTTTGTGAAGAATCCCAATGTGGTCACTCTTCTGCTCAAACAACAGCACACTTTTGAGAAGGGACAGAAGTTTTGTCTTTCAGAGGAAGGCAGATGGCTCATCCTGCCTTTTGGGCCCTTAGCTTGCTTTACTCCGTAAGGCCTAGTGAGGAGAACACTATTTAATTGCATTGTCTATGCCTTGCACTTGGCTTTTATTGTTTTGGGGAGAATATCTGCTTATTACTACCCAGAAACCACATCTAAGAGAGGATGGGAGCAGACAGGCTCTCTGTCACCATATCTACCAACCAACTTAAAAACAATGCGAATGATAAGGAACTTTCACCTCCCACTTCCCTGTAAAATTCCTCTCTACTTAAAAATACTCCCCTCCCCACCAACAGCAATGTTGAAGAGTTATTTTACCATGCTTTAAGGCACGCCCCAGCAGAGTCAAGGGTTGTGGTGAAATGTGCACCTTCCCTTTTAACTTGTTACTTGAGCAATCATTTGCTAATGACATTGTTGTGATTTACAGCTTCTTGGAATAAATCCAGTTAAATCCTCTGAGGAAGAAAAGAAAAGGCAGTTGCAGGGAGAATGACTCCCTGGGACAGTGCTGGGGCCTTCCACCCACCTTGGTGTCCCATGCAGGTCCTCCCATACCTGCTGCCCCTCAAGCCGCTCTTGTCTGTGAAACCTGCTTCCCCAGGATCTGCTCCTGGCCCAAGAGCTTTGGGAACAGGCCAGTGTGCTGCTGAGGGAAGCCATTGACCTCTGTGCTTGTCCTCTCTCATTCCGGCCACCTGCCCTCTTTTACTCTTGTTGAATCTTTGTGTCTGATTTTCCTGTTCCACAAATGAATCATCTCTCCTCATTTCCTCCTCACTTCCTCCCCATCTTAAGACACAGTGAGATCATTTCCTTGTCACCTGTAAAGCCAGAGCCCTAGACGAGGACTTGGGCTGCTGTGTCATTGGAGCTCTGTGACCTAGTGTGACATTGACTCTTGTAGTTATTTTTTCTCATCTGTGTAACAAGGAGACCAGATCGGATGACTTTTCTCCCCCATTCTAGCTAAAAGCTGTTAGATGAAATGCAGAAAGGACCATCCCCATTTTCCATGACCTGGACTTGGCCAGTGACATGGCCCTGTCTTGGGACCACAGGAATGTGGCAGGCAGTCGAGTGTTCTGGAGGGTTAGGTTTGGATTTTGCTGAAATGTGATCTCCAGTGGCTTTATTGCAGCAAAGTTAGGTCAGTGGGTATCAACTGATGATAAAGGTGAAAAATCAATGATACTGTTCTTCATCTCTGTAGCCAAAAATAACAATGGTAGCTTATCTCTGCACTTGCTGTTTTATTTTTAAATAAGCTATTTTAAAACAGTTTTAGATTTATAGAAACATTTTGAAGGTATTGTTGAGAATTTCCATACATTCCATACCCAGTTTCCTGTTATGAAGTGATACTGGTACAAATGAAGGCCATGCTCTATTCAGACTCTCTTAGGTTTTCCTTCACGTCCCTTTTCCACATCCAGGATCCCATGTGCCTCCTCAGGCCTTTGACAATTTCCTCGACCTTCCTTGGTTTTGATGACTTTGACCATTTCGAGGACCATGTCGGTCAGGTGTCTTGTGGAATGCCCCTCATCTGTGACTCGTCTGGTGTTTCTCTCCTGATGAGACCGGGGCTCTGGGTTTGGGCCTGAAGGTCACCAAGGCAAGGTGTCCTTGTCACATCGCACCGTCAGCAGGACTGTGACCGTTGATGTTGACTGTTCATTTCTCCACTGCAAAGTGGCTCTTTTCTCTCCCTTTTCCAGACTGTCCTCTTTGGAAGGAAGTTACTATAGGCAGGCCACCCTTCAGGGTGGAGAGTTTGGTCCCACCTCCTTAAAGGTGGGAGCCGGCCCAACCAAACAGGCAGGGTTGGCCCCTGCGTTACAGGAGGGCCATTTAAATGCTGAGCTGGCATTTAAGTCCTGGGGCCCTCGTGGCTGTGTCCCCTGTGAGGAATGGGTAGCATGAGCCATCACGTGGACGTGTGTGCTCTCTCAGCGTGTGCTCAGAAGTGTCTCATACACATAAAGCTAACATTTGGGTCCAAAAAACCCCCCACGATTCCTGGAGTAGTAACAGCTACAAAAAGCCTAAACATCTAAAAATTCGACACTTCTGCTATGGACCTAACTGGGTAAACTTAAAAGTGGAAACAACTTGGTCCTTGCCCCCAGAGGATTCCATAAAGGGCTAAAAACCACTGCCATTGGCCTCTGGGTTTTAATAATAAATTAAAAGATGGCTTGGTTTGCCTCCCCAACAGTACACTTAGGATGACATCTTGTTTTTTTTTCTGGTAAATTGCATGACTGTCGAGGGCAGGAACAGTGCTCCTGGTGTGTGTTGCCCATACTCCAGAGTTCCGGCCCATGCAAGGTTTCTGCCAGGAACTGAGAGGAAGGCGGCCACTCAGAGGGCCCAGGGTAAAGTCAGCAGGTCCTGGCCCCGGGTGTTCCTGTGTGCTCTGGCCAAGCAAGCCTCGGGCTGGAGAGCTCCTGGGTGGGGTCCTGACTGGGGGATTCTGAGACTGAAAGCATTTTAGCAGTAAAAGACAACAGGGGCCTGGTTGCACTATGTGTTGTGACTAGAGGGGTGGAAGGGTGAAAGGGTGGCCAGGATGACGTGTCCTGTTCTTTCTCCTCAGCAGATTTATCAGCAGGATGGGGTGCAAGGTGCTGTGCAACGTGGGTCAGCAGATGCTGAGGCGGAAGGTGGTGGACTGCAGCCATGAAGAGAGCCGGCTATCCCGCTGCCTAAACACGTTTGACCTGGTGGCACTGGGAGTGGGCAGCACGCTGGGTGCTGGCGTGTACGTCCTGGCTGGAGCTGTGGCACGTGAGAACGCGGGCCCTGCCATTGTCATCTCCTTCCTGATTGCTGCACTGGCCTCGGTGCTGGCTGGCCTTTGTTACGGCGAGTTCGGTGCTCGTGTCCCCAAGACCGGCTCGGCCTACCTCTACAGCTACGTCACTGTCGGGGAGCTCTGGGCCTTCATCACGGGGTGGAACCTCATTCTCTCCTACATCATCGGTGAGTCCGCCTCTTCTGTTGTTCCCACCTCCCAGTCGTGGGCAGATGCACCGCTTTGCTCTCAAGTAGAACAGATCTAGCTTCTTCCCAAGAGCTCCCTCCTTGCCTGACATTTGTCCATCTTCCCCTTTCCTTTTACAAAGGTGGTGGCAGCCTTATGGACACCAACGCCCCTCCGGTCTGTGCTCTTGGTGTTCATGCGCCAGTGTGTCAGGGCTTAGTGGGAACAAGCCAGGAGGTCGTTCCTGTTAACATGATAGACGTAGAACCAGTGGGATGCTTCTAATTACTGTACTTAAAAAGGATTTAGTCTCTTTTAGTTAGTTTTTTTGTTTCCTTCTTTTATTTTTTTAGTACTATAGTAAATTCATTATGGACCAGAAAGATGGGTGGAATATTGAAAAGCACAAAGAAGAAAATAAAAATCTGAGAACTGAGAGACATTAATTCTCTCATTCATTCATTTGCAACAAATATTTACTGAGCACTTGCTCTGCGCAAGGCATTTTGGTAGATATTGGGCATGCAATAGAGGAAAAAGACAATCTCTCTTCATGAGATGCATGTTTTTGGCACAGTATGCCTATTTATAAAACGATACATAGTAAAAATTTTCCACAGTGTTAACTTTTTTCCACAGTAATATTCCTAATGGTTGCATGTCATTCTATCAAAGCAAACACATGAGCAAAAGAATCACCAAAGAATTTGAATGGCCAGTTCACAGAAGTAGAAATACAAATAGCCATTAAACATTCCATTTACATTTAACAGGCATTTTGTGATATTATCAAAAGACAGTAAGATGTGGTAAGTTGAGCCTCGTGGGTCCCGGGAACATCAGGTGTGGAGCTGAGCGCAGCCTTCTGGGCCCACGGGCCTGGGTCTCCTGCGACCTGCCCGCTGCCACGCTCCCAGGCCACCTTCCCTTTTGGCCCTGCAGTGTCTGCTCAGAGAGCTGACACCGCCTACTCTTGTAACCTCCAGAATAACATTCACACCATGGTTTCCTCAGCCCAGTGCTGAAGCAGGTGCAGACAGACACACACGCTAGGTTCTCCTGGTGGGAATGCGGCTATTTTAAATGGGCTGTTGTGTTTCCAGAGGATTTATCTGGGTGTGAGGCACAGAGGGCGTGAGGCCTCATACTTCCAGACCCCAGATGATGCATCTTTGCCAGAGTGCCACTTGCTGGTGTGGCATCACACGTGTGCCACGTGTCACTGTAGGGACCTCTCAGCCTCAGCTATTGGGGAGGGCAGTTTTCTCAGCCAGTGTGGGGTTTTAAAGCCCTGACTCAGAACCAGAATTGGGAGGCCCAGCAGCCGCTCTCAGCCAGCAGGGTGGGGTTCAGGATCCTGGTCAGCAGTGAGCCAGCCTCTGGGCCAGATGGGAGACCATGTTTCTTTGCTGGGTTATGGCCTTGATGGACAGATTTCATAATAGGCGGGCTGCTCAGCATGAAGAAATGTGGTTCGATTATTGAGCTGTTGGAAGATTATTTATCATGAGACCAAATAGCAAAATTGAGTCTCAGCAGATCACTGCGGCAGACTCCTGGGGCTGACCCAGACCGCAGTCACCGGCAAGGCCCTTTGGAGAAAGGAAAGGAAAATGGTCTATGTGAATATTGGAATTTTGGTGACATTTCTTAAGAAACAGTGCTGGACAAGCAGTGACTTAATTCAGACTGAGACAGAGAGGGAGGGGGAGGGAGGGAGAGTGCGTACAGTCAGCCTCGTTGGCACTGGGAGCGCCACCTCCCTTTGCATTCCTCCTGGCCGGGGTGCGGGGAGAGTACAGAGTGCTTTGTCTGCTGGCAGGTGCCTGGGGACCTGTGGGTATGAGCCCAGGGTCACAGACAGAGTGGCAGATGGCAGAGGTGAGGGTCAGCCACGTGCCATGTTTCTGGTCTTCTCTGCTGGGAGAGCAGTGTTCTCCAGGCCAGTCTTGGAAAAGGAGCTGCTGAGAAAGGTGCACACAGCCCATTGCAACTGGAGAGTGAGTCGTGCCATCAGTTTCAAGGCTTGCCATCAGCGTTTCTGTTTGTGATGAAATCAAATAGGTAGAATTGAATAAGCACTGTCTGAGTGCCTCTCAGGTGCCAGGGTAACACGTTTTATAAAACTTTTATTAATAACTTGGTTAAATATTTGAAACATGTATACATGTGTGTATTGGGTCAAGGTGGGAAAGGCATGTTTTTCCAAGGCCCTAGAAGCTTTCTCGGACTTTGCACCTCACCGTGAACTCCTGAGCTCACGTATGCTGAGGTCTGGCTGCTGCTGCAGAGTCTCATGCACTGTCTGTGATCACAACATGGATGCTGTGAATGTCCAGCTGGATGACAAATGCTCTGGAAACTGCTTTATTTCACTTTCTTCTGGTGTGTGTGTCTCGTGACAGGTACTTCAAGCGTGGCCAGAGCCTGGAGTGCAACATTTGATGAGCTGATTGGCAAACCCATCGGGGAGTTCTCTCGGACACACATGGCTCTGAAACTCCCGGGAGTGCTGGCCGAAAACCCAGACATCTTTGCTGTGATTATAATCCTCATCTTAACAGGTACAGCCACACAGTGAGAGAGCCATCAGGTGGAAGGGAGGGGCCCAAGGTATAAGGCAGGCTTGCATTAGGTTTTCTTCCTTTTTTCTTTCTCCCTTCCCCATTTTATTCTCCTCCCCCCGCCCTCCTTTTGCAATTAATGCAGACATCTTTTTGCCTCAGTGGCTTCTAATAGAGTCACATAGGTTTGTATATCATTTAGCTAAAAGCGAACCCTCCGGTGTTTTGTGACTATGGAGTAAGATTTTTGTGCAGATGGCCCAGGAATACACTCTGTTGATCCATGGTGACCACTGGGAAAGGAAGGCTGGTGTTCGCTCGCCAGGCCAGTGTAGAGGAACAAGAGACCTTGTTCGTCTGGGGCACTGACGGGTGTCTGCAGCGTCTGAGACGCCTCTGGTGCTCTCACACCCACCGGTCGTCATGATGCCCTTTAAGTAAATACATTTCGTGACAAAGTTGTGTGTGCAGAATTGAAAAATTTCAGAGCACTTGGCCACAACTGATTGGCAGCTTCTTCTTACTGACATTTACCTGTGTCTCAGCCCCTAAGGTGGGAGTTTTGTTGACATAAACATTAAATTGAAATGTGATAACTTCTCTTTTGAGGTTAGAAAACCTTGCATAGGTTTTAAAAACAACCTGTGTGATTTTGCCCACTGTGTATGTAATCAAAATCACTTTGCACAGCAGTATGTCTGGTCCAGTTGACAGGAGTATGTGTCAGAAGTCAAGTCTGCACTACTCAGATTTTCATGAACACAGGAGGGAGGGACGCGGAAGGACAAGCACCGTGGGGTGTGGGGTCCTGTTTTCTGGGATGAAGTGCTCCGTTCTCTTCTTACACTTGCATTTCAGAGTTCAATCTACTAAGTTAGCATTTTCTATTTTAAACTGTATAAAAGATGTACATGGCAGAGCAGCGCTCTCTAATCATAAACGGTGGTCGTGTGTCCCGGACACCTTTTAATGCCACTTTTCTTGCCCAGCCGAGTGTGCCACAGAACTCCCCAGGTGGCGCGCTCACCCCAAGGTGGTCCTGTGCCGTCATGTGGTTCCTGGGTGCCTTTACCACTTGGCGTTCTTCCCTGTGTGAGTTAGCTGTGCACTGAGTTCAACGGGGCTGTGCGGGGTGGTGGCTCCACAGCCACAGACACTTGGCGTTGCTGGAACTGCTACCTCCCCAAGTTGACCCGAATGATTTTCTCATCTGAAAAGCTCATTCTGCCAGGAAGCTGAGCAAAATGTCTCTGCCTTGGAGAAAATAAAATCCTGCTCCTGCGGGCAGTTCTCAGTAACATAGTTTAGTGAGGGGGAGGGGACAGGGATGAAGAGCTCGCTTCATCCCCTAGGGGCCTTGATGTCCCCTGGTGCCCCCGGATGGCGTCCTCGAACCGTTATTAAACACCCCAGGACTTCGGTGGTTTTGCTCACTGCCTCTAGAAAGGTCATGAATCCAGCCCCATCCCCAGAGGCCCACAGAAGTCTTCCGAGATTTGATGCCATGTGGATTCTTCTTAAGTCATTGTCTTTGTCCCTGTCCCCATCCCAGGAAGGATTTGCCTGGTATGGGGCTAACGCTCAGTTTCCTATATATGCACATTTTCAGGACTTTTAACTCTTGGTGTGAAAGAATCAGCCATGGTCAATAAAATATTCACTTGTGTCAACGTTCTGGTCCTGGGCTTCATCATGGTGTCAGGATTTGTGAAAGGATCCCTTAAGAACTGGCAGCTCGTGGAGGAGGATTTCCAGAACACAACTGGTCACTTATGCGGCAAGTGAGTTGCTTTTCTGTTCCCACCTCGGCGCGTGCTGGTCTGTATATTTAGGGGGTGGAACTGGCTAAAACTATATGAATCTTTCTTTTACAGTGTGACTTGAATTTGGATATTTGGTTATTTTTTTTTGTAGTGAAGTAGCTGAGGGTGTTTTATTGGTTTGGATTTGTGTTAAGTTTTATTTCCCTCTACTATACAGAACATTGTATGACAGGGTGCTACTGGGCAAAACAAAATCTTCATTCAATTCCAAAATGTACACAGTCGAGGATCACTCTCAGACTCACTGAGTAATCCCTTTTTCCTCATATTCTGTTTCATGACCTTCCTCTGAGTTTTGTGATCAGAAAAGATTTTCTCTGCAATACCGTGGTGATGCCACTTTATTTTGAAGTATTTAATAACACTGAAAAAGAAATATGTGAAACTTTTATCATGGGCTTTTACAAAGGTTTTCAGAGTTACTCAAGTTTCAAATGTCATCGTAATAATCTCTGTCTCCCACCCTCAACTCGGCTGCATCAGCCCTGGGAAGCAGCGGCCCCGTCCTCCTGACGCGTCTCCAGCTCAGGACCCTAGGTGAGGCCAGGGACCGGACTGCTTCCAGCCCCCTGCCTGCTCAGGCCTTGCAGTGATCCCTCAACAACAAACTCGTATTATCTAGGACACAAAGCCAAATAATTATAATGTATCTTTTTTATTTTCTCATCAAATTTTCAGGTAAAACTTAAGGTCCTGGGCTGGAGAACAGGGAGTTTGATTTTATCTATGAATCTATTTTAATTGTGGTTAAAGGTTAAACTGCTCAAATAAAGAGACTTTTCTAAAACGCAGTGGCTTTAAAATGATGTCTCAGGTCCTGAAATGAGCAGTTTGGTTGGGTGGCCATTGCGGCAGTGCATCAGCTTTCAGGGGCCCAGACTGTGCACCTGGCTGTCCTGTCATCTCTGAGGATGTGGCCCTCACCCACCGGGTCAGAGCTGGGCTGTGGGCACTGGCATGATCCAGCTTTCCCAGAGAGGGGGTGAGTGTGGAGCAGAGTGTTTCCAGTGCTTCTAAGGACAGATCTTCAAAAGACACATCCCTTCTGCCCACATTCCCCTGGCCAGAATTCAGTAGGCAGCCACAGCTAGCTGCAAGGGAGGCTGAGACACTGGGGTCTGAGTGGCCATATGCCAACTTGGCTGCTGGTTGTTACAGGCTAGGCGTCCAGTGAGTGGTTTGATTAATGGGCAGGCACTGATATGTGTCTAGTTCATGACTGGAACACAAACAGGAAGCTATTAAACGTATGAAACTTCACTAACTCCCATATTATATGGTTAACATTTCAAATAAAAAGGGTCTTTCTTTTGAGGACTAAACCCCATTATAGAGAAATGAGGACTTTTAATATATTTTCCCAAGCATTCCTGACCAATTTATGCCACATTTCTTGGTGCCCATTCACTGAGGATAGAGTAAAGCCAACTCAAACATGCTTTGAAGAAACAGTCGACTTGGAAAACTCTGAGCAGGCGCAGCCTATCTTGCTAGTTGCTGTTCACAGGTGAGGGGTTAAATGTTTCCTGGTTGTCAGTCAAGATTTCATTTTTTGTTTTTATGAAGAGGTTGTTCATGCCAGGTGTGGTATTTGCTTTCATCGGTCACCCTTACACAGTACGTCCTAGCAATGACGGGCTGTACCCGCCTCCCAGACAAAGTGGCGTTTGTTGCTCGGCCCTAGAGACACAGCCATGAGGGCAGTGAGCCAGCCACTGTGAGAGGTGGAGTGCATTGGGACGGGGACATAGCTTGCTTACTCATTTTATTAAAACCTGTAAGATCTTTCCTTTTTTTGTTGTTCACCAGCTGTAGATTTGTGTTTCTGATGATGGCCACACAGTCTTAAATGAAACTGTTTGTCTCTCTGAAGTACTAAAGCATTTCCCAGTGAGACCATACAGTATGGAGGGGCTTCATCCTGCAGGGGCTCGGGCTCAGGGGCAGTTCCCACCGCATCGCATCGTGCTGTGATTGCTGAAGTCAGCTCAGCAGGTGTCCACGCTCTTTGTGATTCATGCGCCCAGGAGTGGCTGGGGCACCTGGGAGACAGTGTAGACTGTGCACTGTACCTTGCTGATTTAACTGTCCTGAGCTGCCTTTTTTTTGTACCTGGATTGACGGTTTACTTCAGTCACACTTTAAGATGACAAGCTTCCATTTGCGTCTGGTGAAATTTTACCCACATCTATCACTTGTGTATTTGTTGGGGTTTCCTTCCTGTTGCTACTGCACCACAGTGAGTCCCGGTGGCTCCGTGGCACCTTCTGGAGCTGAAAAATGTAACTATACCCAAGGAATCAGGAGAAGGCTTATTCCCTGTTAGAAAACAATTGGGTCCAAATTGTTGGTCTGTTTTATTAGTCAGTCGGTAAATCCCACTTAAAAACAAATTTGCCAGAATGAGTTGCTAACCCAGCCTCAGTGCATTGGTGTTCACAGAACTGGAATATTCTCTCTCATTTCTGTCTCAGGTCCGCGGGTGAAGTAGTCCATGTGAAGGGGCAGTCAGCCGAGTGGGCAGGGCTAATGGGGGGCTTTGAGCATCCTCGGGAGCTCCATGTTGAGGAGCTGAAGCTGCCCTTCTCAGACTGGAAGGAGTGGGGCTGCTCTTCAGGTGGCGGAGGTTCAAGATTACTCGGTGCCAGGCAGGGCCTGAGGTAGACTCATGTCACGGATGGCCACCCAGATGGGGCCAGCAGGGGCGAAGGGCTCCCTCTTGAAGCTTAGTGTCTAGAGTCACAGGTTTTGAACCACTGTGACTATTTTCTGGATCTTCAAGGACTTTGAGGTTCACAAAATATGTTTGACTTTGTGTTCATTACTTTAGCAAACACTACTGAGCGCCACCCATGAGCCCAGCTGTGCTGGGTACCAGTGCCCACTTGTGGAGCATCCCAGTTGTTTACCTTGTGCATATGGGTGCTTAGGGAGCATTTTTGTTGACTAAAACAAACCACTCTTCAAACCTCAGTGCCTTTGGAAATGCTTGTTTTGAGACCTAAGTTACTGGTAAATACGGAGACTTTTTGCATTTTGTTCCTAGGTCTGGGGCTTCTGCACTGCCTGGCTTCATTTCTTTCTCTAGGGTTTCGGGGGAGAGGCTGCAGTTGTAGGTTTTCCCCTCCTTCCTGCTGGACAGCCCGTCACAGTTCCTACACTCCACCCCTACTCCAAGTCAGTATTTACAAGGCACCTCTGGAAAGGGCTTAGCACACACCCTTATGACTCTAGGCCACGCCAAATCGAGGGTCCTATGGCCCACAGAGTTGGGATGCGGTGGCTGGTGACAGCTGTCAGGGATCACATACTGAGGGCTGGAGCGGTGGGTCTAAGTCAGTCAGTGGCTGTTTGGAATGATGAGGCTGGTGTTGTGATCTTTGTTGTGGCTCTTTTTTTTCCAGCGACACAAAGGCAGGGAAATTCGGTTTCGGGGGTTTCATGCCTTTCGGATTCTCCGGCGTCCTATCAGGAGCAGCGACCTGCTTTTACGCCTTTGTGGGCTTTGACTGCATTGCCACCACAGGTACGCCTGCCCACCTCTGGTCCTCTTGTGCCCCCATGGGCCACTATCTTCCTTCCTGTGCGCCTGTGCTGGTTGCTGAGCTTTCACCCAGGAGTAACGTGTAGATTGCAGCTTCCTGATAATCTTCCCCACCCATATCGTTTCCCCGAGGGGCAGTTCCTGACAGGAAACTGCAGCAGGAGTGTGACTGACCGTTCTGCTAGAACGAATGGGATAATGACAGCCCAGGCCACAGCCTGACTTCATATCTGTGCATCATCCGGAGACACGAGGCCATTAAAAATACTGCCGTCCTGGCAAATTGAATAGTCTAGGCTCCATCAAGCCTCCCAAATCTCCCTGCCAAAGGAAGCAAGTCTTTCCCTTGGTGGAACCATGACAAAACAGCCAAGAACACCATCCGGGGGCCTAGGGGTCACCTGGTCTGTGTTGCTGGGGCAACCCCGTCTTTCCAGAGCCCAGCAGACCCTGGCCCCCATAGAGCTGAGTTCTGTGGGGGTCATTTGTGATGGCACAGACTCCCTGGATGCTGAAAGGCCTGGGGCCTTGTGGTTTGTGGGGCACCCCTCACCACCTCACCGACCTGGGCTGACTCCTGGTTGCTTCTAGGTGAAGAAGTCAAGAACCCCCAGAAGGCCATTCCTGTGGGCATCGTCGCTTCCCTCCTGATTTGCTTCATCGCCTACTTCGGGGTGTCGGCTGCCCTCACACTCATGATGCCGTACTTGTGCCTGGACAAGGACAGCCCGCTGCCCGACGCCTTCAAGCATGTGGGATGGGAAGGCGCCAAGTACGCAGTGGCCGTCGGCTCCCTCTGTGCTCTGTCTACCAGGTGAGTGTTCTCGGGCATCACCTGTGGAGGGCTCAGTAAAGCTGTATGTGCAGATTTGCTGTTAAAATTACTTTTTTCCCTGGAGCTGGAGCCAGTAACGCCAACCCTGATTCTGTGGTTTCTCCCTTGTTGTTGCTATTAATCAGCCAAGAGTCAATTACGTTATTGATCTTGAAGAACCCAAGGCTGTCATCTGCTCAGCAAGGGACTGGCTTTCTGTTCCCGGTTTTGGCTACTGGGTCAGGCCAGCTTTGTGAACACTGCATGTTGGCCTCAGTCTGGCTGTCAAGCAGAGGCAACCTTGAAAAAGGGAGTGAGTGCCTTTTATTGAGGGGTGTTCTGCCCCTGCTGTTTCCTACTAATCTACGGACAGTAACTATATGGTAAATATTGATTTACCAGAGACATCCTTATGGATGCCGGGATTCTTTTATTTTTTGCTTGATTTAGCTGGAAATAACTGCAAGAATAAATATAAGATTTCCCTTCCATAAAAACAGTAAGTTGGTTTGTACTATTTGTTAGGCCTTTCCCATTCTTACACTTACACAAACTCAGAGTAAGTGCCTTTTGAGGAGATGGTGTGTGGAATTCTGAGTCTTGAGCATGAGTCTCACGCAGCCTGGCCGGCACCAGCCCTTGGGGAGAGCTCAGGGTTCCTGCTCCCCAGAGGTCAACTGGGCCTGGTCAGATGCTGGTGACTTGATTGCTGGTAAGTTCATCTTACTGATGCTTTTGTCTTTTTCTTCCACCTAGCCTTTTGGGTTCCATGTTTCCCATGCCTCGAGTTATCTATGCCATGGCTGAAGATGGACTGCTATTTAAATTTTTGGCTAAAATCAACAATAGGACCAAAACACCGATAATTGCCACATTAACCTCAGGTGCCATTGCTGGTAAGAACTGGAAATAATTTCACATGTAAATATTTCAACAGTTGAGTTGTTATTACTTCTTAGGGAAATGTCCTGAATTGTACTGTGGCCTGTGAAAAGTTTTAACTGGTCTTTTTAACATTTGGTTTTTACCCTTAGAACCTGGTTTATTGCAAGGTCCTGTAGCAGAGGCCAGTGCTACAGAGATGTGATGGACTTTCCAAAAAGTTTGAATTCTGTTATTATCCTCTCATTGGCCAGAGCTTAGGACACACATGGTCCCGCAAAGTCATTGGTCTTCTCTGTTTCTGAGTGTCCCTGAGTAGGTTTCAGTGAGATGACATCTCCATGCATTTAGAAGCCAAGTGAGACTATGCGTTATTACTGGAAATTTAGTGTCCTTGTATCTATGCTCATGAGTTCTCTGGGAAGTGAGAGTCACTTATGATTAGTGTTGTATAAAATGTACCACTTCTTCCCCAGGAGATATTGGAAGTGCTGCTGCTAAAGCCATTTGCCTTGGGTGTATACATAATGGCAGGCCCAGAGGAGGTTTATCTTACCAAATATGAGGTTCCTCACCAAGAAGATGATTTTGACAGATGGCATCAGTGGACTGAAAAATGCTTTGAGTCTGTGTTAGCAGTCCTCAACCTTTTTGGCCCAGGGACTGGTTTTGTGAAAGACAGTTTTTCTACAGACTGGGGTGTGGCTGGGGCTTGGCTTTATAGCCTGCCACCAGATACAGCTTAACTGTCTCTTCCCACTCACTGAGAGGGTTTTGATATGAGTCTGCAAGCAGCTGATTTATTATGGTCTCTGTGCAGTCACACCTCTCTGCTAATGATAACCTGTATTTGTAGCTGCTCCCCAGCACTAGCATCACCATCTCAGCTCCTCCTCAGACCATCAGTCATTAGATTCTCATAAGGAGTGTGCAGTCTAGATCTCTCGCATGTGCAGTTCACAGTAGGGTTTGTGTTCCTATGAGAACCTAATGCTGCTGCTGATCTGACAGGAGGCGGGGCTCAGGTGGTGATGTGAATGATGGGGAGCGGCTGTAAAACAGATGAAGTTTTGTTCCTCTTCCTGCTGTGTGGCCCCATTCCCAACAGGCCAGGGGCTGGGGACTCCTGGTCTGTGTGATATTCCAGGGGCCCTGGATTAAGAAGGAGGAGCAGAAACTTATTTGCACATGCACTGCATGCTGTTTGTTATCTATGTTCCCTTCTTTAATGATTGCATTTCATAGCTTGAGAGGCAGTGTGATCCCATTGTACAGATGTGGAAGTGGAGACACAGAGAGGTGAAAGCAGGAAGCACACCCATAGTGTAGAGCTGGCTTGTGCTTCGTACCTGGTTTGTTTTTATGCCAAAGAGTCTGGCTCCTTCCAGGCTGTGAGTAGAGCAGCAGGTTTTCCTCGTAAATTAGGACACGTGACACTGTTCACAGTTTGTACCACAGGGATTTGTCAAATGGCCATTGGTAAGACATTTGACTTTCTTAAATCAATGAGTTGTTATTAATAATATTTATGCCCTTAGCAAAGTGTGCTTCATTTTGTGGGTTAACATTACGTAATGAAAGAAACCTAATTTTTTATTATTTATTAAGTTTCTCCTATCATTCTACATTCCTGAGAACGATCACAGTGGTCAGGTTAAGGGACACTATATGTCAGAATATGTCCTATATATTTAAGAGATAAGGCATTGAAAACTGAAGATTTTTTTCAGTATTTACATGTAATTTGATCATACTAAAAACTGGCCTTAATTTCCTTTCTGTACTGGTGAAGGGAGATGAAACTATAATCATTAAAGTGACTATAAAGTACATTCACCAAACCAAAGATTTTCTCTTCATTTTATTTGGTGGGAGTGTAAAAAAGTAATAGGCTTTCTAAAATGACCCCACATGGAAGAAATTTGTCGCAAGCTTTTCTGTGAGTGGGGATGTAGGTGCCGGTGGCATGCATGGTTGGACACTGCTCTAATTACTCAGAAGGTCCTCTCTACTCCTAAATCCTATTATTTATTCACAATTTACATTTTTTTAACTGCAGTAATTTATAGGGTCTTGAGAAGTATTTGTGGAAAAGCAATGGTTTTGTGTTTATGTTTTAACTTGTCTCAATTGTGAATGATTTGAAAATACCCCAAAATAGACCTAGCCAAGTTATTGTTTGAATGGGAAGCAACCAGTGTCCCCACACAAATACACACAAACACTCTGAAAAAGTACAAAGGATTTTAAAATAAGCATGTGTGTGGGGTTTTTTTAAGTGTGGTCACAGTGAAGGAGCTGAGATTGTCGGGGAGTAACACTGCTTTCCATGCTCAACTGTCTGGGTCAGGAGCCTCATCCACCCTCATCCACCTCCTTATCACTGTTGCTGACCAATTCATATGTTTTGGATGATATGCCAGATACTTTTCCTCCTTCAGTGGTGTATACCACGCTTTCAGTGAGTGCCAGGAGGTTGATGGGTGGATGGATGGATGGATGTACATGATTTGTGTCTGAGCCAGCATGATGGAAAGGAAGAAACAATGGACTCAGACTCACAAGAACCTGTTTGAAATTCTGACTTTTTCACGTACTAGCTGTGTGACCTTAGATAACTGTTCCAACCAGTCTGAACTTTGGTTTCTCTGTTTGTAGTGTTGGAATAGCTTGCAAAGTTCCATTGAGGACTATATATGATTTAATCCTGAGCTTTTCTTCCTTTAAACATCTTTCCATGGAAAGGGCTGGGTATATGGGGAGCAAGCAAAAGTAGCACCTCTTATGTGCTCTGAATCACAGGTGGGTGGTGGTTCTGGATGTCAGTACGTGTAGAGGACCATCCATGAATCCTGATGCTTTTCTCCCCAGCTGTGATGGCCTTTCTCTTTGACCTGAAGGACTTGGTGGACCTCATGTCCATCGGCACTCTCCTGGCTTACTCTTTAGTGGCTGCCTGTGTGTTGGTCTTACGGTATGTATGGCTTTTCTGGGTCCCATGACAGAAACACACATGAACCCTGCTGGCCTCTTAGCAGTTCAGATTAATGGTTTAGACAGTGTAAATTTTAGGTTATTGGTAGCTCCTTTGGGAACTATCCAGGTAGGGTGGGATCTGATGGCTGAGAGCCTAGTTATAGAGAACATCCTTGCAAAGAGTCATGGGTGGCCCCGCCTCCCTCTGTCTTATGCCCTCATTTTTCTGTCTGGTTGTTGGGAGGGTCAAGACAGGTTCTCAGCTCAACTGCTGGGCCTGGTTCCTGGGATCAGATGTTTTGAAGGCTTGGGTAATATTTGCAGTGTGGTTCAGGTTCTTGGGACAGAGGGGTCTGGGACTGTCCCTGGTGGAAATTGGGAGAATCCAGTAAAACTTAGGTTACTGTGATGACCTCTGAAACTCAGGTTGCTGTGATGCTTCACTGCACTGCTGCTGGAGGAAGGAGTCCCAGTATATGGTGTGGGATGGCCGAGGCTGACGTTCAGGAAGACTTTCCAGGTTCTGGCTGTTCTATGCTTGGGTGCTCAGGCTAGCCCCTGGGTTGAGATAATAGAGCAGCCCTGGGCTTAAGCTTGGTGTCTCAGCTACCTCCACACAGCATACTTCTGGGTACCGATATTACTTTGCTCTGGAATGACAGGGTTCTGCTTCCCAAGTCCCAGAAATGGCCCGAGGTAGCACTTAGCATGAGAACAAGTACTCATGGAGACTCTGAGTTGGTCACCTGGCAAGAGCCTCTTGTTTCTTTTCAGGTATTTCTACTTGCAAGGCCACTGATCCCATTTTTAATGTGCTCAGCAGATAATGTATGTAACACCTGGATCGCATCGAGCCTTGGTAGTAACCATGTAAAATCAGCTAAATCTAGTTTGCTAATTGACTGAATAGTGTTACAGAAGTGAATTAGTGAAAATATGGTGAATATCTTTATGCTTACTCTTAGACTAAATGTAAAATAATTCATAAGGCATTCTGTTTTTCAAGGCTGGTAGAAAAGATTTGAGCTCTGTTCATTTTGAGTGAGAAGATAAGGAGCCTCATTTAAAATGACTGCTCCATTTACAGGTAGGTTGTACCTTGGAAATCATGCCATGGGCTGAGTCTTTCACCCAGCTCTGTAGATTTATTTATACCAAGGCACTTGGAGCTTTAAAATAAATTGATGCAATTAAGTCTCCCAAACAGAATATCTCAAAGCCATCAGCCTGCAGACACATTTCTCCAGTTCTCTGCACCAAATAGGATCTTAATGTTATTGCTTTCTATTTCTGTCTGTGCATTTAGCTTCCTGCAGCCTAATTTTGCTGGAAGTGGCCTAATATCTTAAGCTTCCAAGGGCCAGTGCTACTCTCAGAGCCAGAGAAACCACCTCAGGACATTTCTCTGGGCTGGTTTACAGTGGAGGTCAAGTGGTCTCAAAACAGAGACACCAAAGAGGGTATTGCCAGAAGCAGCAGCAGAAGGCGAGGACCCAGCTCTCCTCATGTTTCTATTTTGCCAGAGATGTCATTCGGACCATTATCTTTCCATATGATGCCTTATGTCCTGGGCAACTTGCCCATGAAGGCTTACTAAGAACTTGAATTATTGTGCATCTTTTTGCATCCCACAATGGTCATATTTGTGTGCAGGTATCAGCCAGAGCAACCTAACATGGTATATCAGATGGCCAGAACTACAGAGGACCTGGACCAAGTAGACCAGAATGAATTGGTGAGCACCAGCGATTCCCAGACAGGCTTTTTAGCAGAAGCAGAAAGGTTTTCTTTGAAAAGTATACTTTCACCCAAAAACATGGAGCCCTCCAGAATCTCTGGGTTAATTGTGAACATTTCAACCAGCCTCATAGGTAAGAGTCTCCCTTTCCCTGTATGTGTCTGGGGTCCTGCTTGTTGGTACTGCATGGTTTCTTGTCCCTGGGTAGGGGGGTTGGGGTCTTACTGCTGGACTGTGCTGTCAGTTATTCTGTCCTCATTGTTGGTGATGCCTACAGACATACAGCCTCCCTCTCCATAAGCTTTGGAGAGAGCTGAAAGTATCTGTAGGGAATTGAGAAATGGCTGAGACACAGCTCTCCTACTCTCTCTGTCTCTCACAGCAATTTTTATCATCACCTTCTGCATCGTGGCTGTGCTGGGAAAGACGGCTCTCACAAACGGGGAGTTGTGGGCAGTCTTTATACTCATTGGCTCTGCCATCCTCTGCCTAGTGGTCACTGTCATCATCTGGAGACAGCCTGAGAGCAAGACCAAACTCTCGTTTAAGGTGAGCGACTCTGCCTGCCAGGCCTGCAGGGGACTGCCTGGTGGGACAGTCCCTACATGTGCTCCCCTAAGCCTGGGTGTCTGGCAGGAGATGCTTGCCAGTCAGTCTCAGGAGAATATGGGCCCATGGGAACAGATAGTACTTGTTGAGGACCTGACTCTGGAGAGAGATACCTCTCCATGCCCCTGGCTCTCAGGTGGCGGAGCATACCTGGTCCCCAGGGCTTCTCACAAATGCTGTCCTGGTGGATCATATATCATCACCCAGGCTTGGAGGCGACTAAGGCTTCTGCACTTTCAGATTATACAAACAAAATAGTTCAACCTTAGAGGTAAAGTGGAATTCTCCTTCTAGCCCCTCACTTTAGTGGAAAAACAGCAGGAGTAGAAAATAAGAAGAGAGCTTACTTTGGCAGTTAGTTGCTTAGACCCGAGCTCCCACCTGTTAGCGTTTGCCCCCATGTGGGTGTGCTTGCGTTGGAGGGGCTGGGGGCACGGGTGGGGTTAGCACTCCTTTCCTCTTTCCCACCTAAAAATGGCTGTCCACACAAATCTCAGGGATCCACATGAGTGTCAGGTGTGTGACGTTTTCTAGGTAGTTTTGCTAAATGATTCAAGCAGGCCCCAGCTCCATGCTCTTCAGTCTGTCAGAACTGACTCTGCTGCCTTGTGTTTTGCAGGTGCCCTTCCTGCCGGTCCTTCCTGTCCTGAGCATCTTTGTGAACGTCTATCTCATGATGCAGCTGGACCAAGGCACGTGGGTCCGGTTTGCAGTGTGGATGCTGATAGGTAGGTCAGTTCATCAGTCCTGCTGTGACCAGCATGTTCCATACTCCAGTGTCTCCTGAGGCCTCCCATCCCTGCTGGTCACTTATGTCATCGAGCCTCGCTCAGTTCAGATTTCAAAACACAGTGGAAACATAGGTAGTCAGCTCTTTTCTCTCAAACAACAAGGAGTTCCTGGTAGGTTGTGGGTCCTTTCCTCCCCTTCAGATACTTTTCATTTTAATAGCCTCTTGCCTGAACTAGTCATTGAGCAAGAGCTTGAGACTAATCAGAACAAGGCCGTGAGTCTGCCATCGATAATGCATCAGCCCATCTCCCCCCAGCAGTGCGAAAGTCGGGGCCTCACCTCTCCATGTGGGATGTGGGCACCGGTGGGCCTGCAGAAGCTTGGGTGTCACCATGGGGGCCATGGCCCTCTCCGGGCCTGACTGTGGCCTGGTCTCTCTCTGGGGGCTGCAGGAGATGAACTCAGTTTTCTTCCTCAATGTCTAGGCTGAGTGCTGATGCAGGGGGACTAGCCTTGACCTATGTCCCTCAGCATCCCTGATAAAAGCAGGAATCTCAGGACCATGGTTCTGCCAGACCTTTTAGTCCTGGGTTGTCCCACTTTGGAGTAGACGGCTGCTGCTGTACCATTGCTAGGGGGCACTCGACTGCCCCAGTCTCTGCAGATCCCTCACTCCCCTCAAAGTCAGTGTCTAGCTGGACAGGCAACTCCCATAGAGACTTTTTTTGAGAGACCTGGCTCGATCTGCATTCAGCCCACTGTGCCCACTCCTTGAGACTGCAGGGCCTGGTGCTCACTTCCTGCCAGAGGTACATGGCACCTGCATCTTATCATCCCTGGTATAAGCTCTGGCTTCTGGGCATTTGCTGCTTTTTGTACTTTTGGTAGCTAAGTCTTTCCTTTAAGGCAGCTGAGTCTTTCCTTTAAGGCCTGCTCTCCTTATGTCACCAGCATAAGGGTGGCCCCGGGACACAGTCACTGGACAGGTCTGGACCCAACCATAGACCTTTGGAGTGCCCAGCACTGGATTGGACTGGATTCCTGTGGTACATACATTCCCAGGTGACCTGAATGCCTCCTGCAGTGTGACAGTCACTTACGCAGAGAAAAAGAGCAGCCGTGACTATGCAGACAGCATGGAAATCCAGGGCAACCCAGTGGCCACTAGAACCCCAGGCTGGCAGGGAACAGCACAGCTTCACAGCTTCCACAGTGTCTGTCCTGGCCCCCTCCAGCAGCCACATGCCCCCCAGCCAGGTCGTCAGTGGATGATGCTGAGGGACTAATGCCCCTCCCTCCCTGGGGCCCCCAACTGAGCTGTTCCCTCTGTTCAGGGGTTTCCCTGGTGCGAGGCTTTCCAGTGGGTCACCTCTGCTGGCCCTCTTTGAAGAGTCATGTTGTTCCTCTAAGTGCAGAAAGGCTAGGTCCAGGCAGTGTGGTGAGGTTTGCTCCGCTGAGGCTGCTCTGCCTACTTCCCCGGAGCCCTTCCCCCTCGCCACCCTCCGGCCCCTTCTCTGATCACTGCGCTCTGCCCTTGGCCTGCAGGCTTTACCATCTACTTTGGCTATGGACTGTGGCACAGTGAGGAGGCATCCCTGGCCACTGGCCAAGCAAGGACTCCTGATGGCAATTTGGACCACTGCAAGTGACACACAGCCCTGTCCCCCAGAGGTGACAGCAGCCCTGAGGGATGCCCATGGAGGACTCAGAAGCACCTCGCTGTCTCCACAAATGCAATAGGACCCACCCACGACCACCAGGCTCCAGAGCAGCGAAGGTGCAGTACCTGGACTGTAGCCTCACCCCACAGCGTGGGGCTTGCCCAGTCTTGCTCTGCAGCAGGCTCATCAGGCCCTGGTCACCTCTGACAGCTCCCTGGCCAGGGCCACTTGGCTCTGGCTGGCCACTGAGCCTCTTAACCTCCCTCTTCACAAAGAAAGAAGCTCCTCTCCTGCTGTGCTGCTATAGAATGGAGGTCACCAGGGCTCTGCCGCCAGGCACCATTCTGGAGTCAAACATGCACCTACCCCAGACTTGTAGTAGCCATCTCCCTTCTCAGCCCCAAACAGCCGGCCATAGATGCAAGATGAGTACCACAAAATAGCACATCCCCACAGGTTCACCCCAGAGCTGAAGGCCAGCTGTTTACTCAACAAGGAAAAACATGACTGGTTTCCTTCTCCTGCCCTGCCCTCCAAGTAGCTTCTGGAAGGGGCCTTAGGACTGTGACCCCTTCTCCACTTCCCCTCCATGTAGGGGCCCTGCTCTGCCTCCCTGACAGGCCCCCGCCCACTCCACCGCAGAAGCGCCACTGTGGGAGCGAGGTGGGGGGCGTCATCTCCACTCCAGGATGCGTGTGCACGGGGGCCTCTGTCAGCCACGTGCCCCCCGGCACGGCCTGCTCATGCTGCTCTGGCGTCTCACCGCTGGCTGTGTGTCCTGAGTAACTGGCATGTGACACTGTGTTCTTGTACGACCGGCCTCAGATGAGCAGAGTTCTAAACGCCTTTGTCTGTAGGTTGCTGCCATTCTCAAAGTCCTGCCCTCTGATGCTTTCAGGTCAGTGCCTGGGGTCTTATGAAGTTCCCAGGACAGGTGTCTGCTTGTTCTGAGGTGACAGTGACCAGTCCTTCCAGCCACTTGTGGCCCCTACCATGATCTGTTTGACCTGTCTCGTAAGTGTGATCAAATTGAGCCCTCCTGTTAGTTTCTGTGAATCACTCCAGCAAATTCGTTGGTGCTTAATGTTAACTTGGAAAATGGCCAAATAATTAATTACTCGGTGCCACTGGTATGTTGTTGAGAGTGTGGGGCCCCCACGTGAGACAGTTGGGGTTGTGTGCTGTCCCTCTGGTGTATTCATCATCCAGACACACAGGTTTGTGTATGGGTTTGTAGCCCTGCCTCGACCCCACGCCTCCATAAGTCTCTCTACACAGCACACTTCCCCACTCCCGCCCCTGCCCCTGCGGCCTTCCCAGTTGGAAGAAGCCAGAGGAGACAGGAATGCTAGCCGAGTCCTCCAGTTGGAGTGTAATTCAGGAGACAGAAGGTTCTGTGTTGATGGGAGCTGAGGGAGACAAGTATTTTGGAGTCCACAGAAAATGTAAAGGCTGCTTTCAAAGCTTAGTTTCCCATTTCTTCCCTGCCCCCTCCCCCCGCCCCCACCACCCCATCCCAGCCTTTGCACAGATCTGTGCAAGTAGAAAGCAGCTTGGTAAATTGACAACACTTTTCTTTACCTCAAAAGGTTCTTGGAGAAAAATCTAAGAATTTGTAAAATAGCCAATGGCTGGTCAGCCAGCAGAGGGCAGGCAGTAGACAGCCCAGGGCTGAGCCACTGTGGTTCAGACCGCAGGTGGGGGACCCCAAAAGTTCAAAGCTTCGTTTCCCAAAGAAACATTTCAATTTATGTAGATTGGTGCTGTAAACTATTTTGAAAAATACTATTTTGTTTGGGTTGCCCGCTGTCTTCTTGGGGCCTGTTAGCTGTTTGCTCAGTTTGTCTGGTATTTTTCCAGATGAGCAAAAAACTGGAGGGAGAGTGTGTCTAAGATTTTTTTTTAACTTTAATTTCCCTTCTGGCTGAAATTTCACGCAAGACAGTGCCCAAAAGACTGATTATAGCTGAGCTTTTCACTAACAAAGTCCATTGTTCTGCACACTGAAAAAAGTGTGTTGCCCCCACATTGTCTCATGGATGAGCCCCCCCAACAGGCACGTCTCCCCCTTCCTCAGCCCAGAGTCAGCAGCGCTGACAGAAGACTTGTGGCTTAGTCTAAGGAAAAGCCCTGCACCGTCCCACCAGAGCAGGGCCCCGAGGGTGACTCCGACACAGTGCGCATGCCCCTGTTGCTGCACAGCGCTCTGGTTGAGAGCCGTGTGTTCTGTGTCCGGGGGCCATGGGTTGGTGGGGGGGAGGTGTGGGGGTCGCCTCTCGATGTGAATGTACTTCTTTTCGCGCCCCTCACTACTGTCCCTGAAATACACATGCAGGCAAAGTGGAACCCAGCAGAAGTGCCGCTACCCCCCACCAAACAAGAACAGGATTGCAGTTTCGTGGCTCGGCCAGTAATTTCCGACACAGTCAGAAATTCCACACGTCTAGAGACACATCCTTTGGGGATATTGTGTCTACTCATTTGTGCCCCAGTCCCAAGTGCTCAGGATGGAAAGACCATTGTGATGAGGGAACGCCCCTTCCTGCCTCCGAAATCCCGCAGGCATGTTTTTATGACGTCACTCCCAAAAATTCAAACTGGAACGCCAGGACCTCTGCTGCAGAGGGAGCGTGAAGAGGGTCTCCGGGGAAATAGCCAGGCTCCCGGGACCTTCCAAGAGGGGACCCTGGGCCGCCACACGTGCACAGCCCCACCCGACCTGCTCACATCCCCTCAGCTGCACTTTGGGCTGAATTTGTTTTTCCAAACCAAGAAGCAGTGGTGGAGCCATCTTTTCCAGGTTGTTTTGGAAAGCCAGCTAAATTTAGGCTGTAGGCAGAACTCCTCCGTCTCCCCAACTTTTGGTTTTGTTCCATTGACTCTATCAGGCAACCAGCCGCCTGGCCCCATGTGCTGCTGTGTGGGCGCCACAGGCTGCCTCCCCAGGCCTGACACACCTCTCTGCACCCATGCCATGGCATGGATTCACACCTGGATGCGGCGTCTGGTCCTGCTTGATTCTTGGCCACTGCATTGGCTGTGTGTAGGGATGGGAAGGTGGATTCGGCCAGGTCTCCTCCCCTCCTCCCCCACCACTAAGCAGACATTCTGAATTGAGTGGGTTTTGCTGCCCCAAATAGTATGCCTAACAATGGGGGACACTGAGGTCAGGGTGAAAGGCTGGGTTTCTTGGGTGTGGACTCGCCTCACAGGGGCCCTACTCACATGGTAGATGAGCTCACTGGCGTTTCAGGCACCTCCACCTGGCTCTGTACCAGGACCTGCCTTTTCCGATTTGAAGGCCCCACTAACACACATGTAACAAGGGCCATCCCGGTGACAGGCCTCAGGACCGCTCTCTTCCAGGGTGGACAGAGAGGTGTGTTTGTGGGCGTGTCCTCACTGCTGGGCGTGGTGTGCGATGCTTGTGCAGAACTGTTAGTTCCCTTCTGGTGAAACTAAATATATGGTATGTATAATTGTTACATGTAATTTAAAATGTATGTGTTTGCCATCATAATGAGAGTATTGTATGTAACACAAGTAAGATGTACATTTTGTCAGACTTTCATGGACTTTCTTTTGATAATGAAGTGCTTTATTGATCCAGTGGTGTCAGAAACTACACTCTGTTCTCCATCATCATCAACATGATGCCTGATGGGGGGTTTAGGTCAAAAAAATGTAGACTAACTTTTATCTTCATCACTATAACCCAGAGTCTTTGTGCCCATTGCTCTGTTGAGGTTGCGCTCTCTTTCAGTGGGACGGGGACTGGCCAAGGGTCTCAGGGCGCAGTTCTCCAGGAGCCATCCTGGATCATTCTCTGCATGTTGAACTGCTGGCTGGAAGACGCACAGGAGATGGACGACCTTGGCCGTAAAGCCCAGGGATTTTCTCAGGGTGTGAGAGTGTCCAGCAGGCTTGGGAAGCAGGGCTCAGAAGACGCACTCAGACTTTGTTAATTTATTAACAAGGTATATGATCTTGTGTTTCTTGATGACAAACTTTTTAATTTGGGGACTTATTTTCCCACTTGAGAAGTTATAATATATATATTTAAAATAAGTTTCCTGCTTAAGTTGTGCCTTTCAGCGTCAGTGGGTGTGAGGAGCACCAAGGGGGGTGATCCCCGGGAGGGTTGGTGTATTACCGAACCTGAAGAGCTGTAGTTTCTTGGGTAAATTTTTTCTTCTACTGAACATGGAGCCATTGTTAAACAAGTTCTGTTTTTATTATGTAAATTGTAAAATATTTTTTGCTTGTTTGATGCTCTATTTTTCTAATAGTTTTCTTATAGTTTCTTACAATTGTGATACTAGATTTAGATTTTGACACTAACTGCAAATCAAGTTGGTCTCTGCTGTTCTCTCCTGTTTTTATTTTAAGAAAAACATAGATGTTGTCCATCGCCTTTAAAAAATGTGGAACTCCCATTGTTGCTGATAACACAGTATGTCAACAACTGCCCACTGTACTTTATGTCATACAACCAAACTATTTCGTGGTACATAACCTCATGCTTCCGCAAATTCTAATAAATTCTGTCTGTGGCTTCAGTGTGCATATGGTGTTCATCTCGAGAGTTCTGGCAGCTCTTGGCCAGGTCCCCAGGAGTGGCAGTGCCCCACGGGGAGTCCCAGATCCCACTCTTGGCTTCTTTAGGATCTTCCTGCCTCCCCATGTGCAGGTGCTACATTGCCTCTTCAGCCACTTGGTGGAAATCCTTATTCTGACACTTGGGAGGAAAACCCACAACCACGGAACCCCTTGAGCTCACCTTTAGGGTCCTCTGCTGCTGTCTCCCACCTCTCATTTTCCAGACTTGGCTCAGGTTTGGGACCCAGAGAGGTCTCATTTGCTGAAGGACTTGGGTGGGGTGCCATAAAACCCATCACACCAGAATTATCCTTCTATACCCACCATTCCTGAGAGAGGATGTGTGTCTGCCGGGCAGGAAACATGGTAGCAGTTCTAATATTGATCTTACTATCCCCATTACCCCTTGAAAAAGGGGCATTTTCTTGCAAGGGAGGCAAATTCAAATGGGCCTTAGCTCTCAGACACTGACATATGGTGATTCCATTATCAAGTGGGAAGATCTGATCTTTGTGTCCTTTCAGCTGTTGACAGTGCTGGATGGGACACCCAGGGCACTAGAGAGAAGAGCAGAGAGATGCTGCTGGGCCTGGCATCGGCAGCTTGTCATGGGGGATAAGATAGCAATAACCAGGCATCTCGCAGGGTTGTCAGCCAAATGGCAAAGTAGACCACAGACCCTGAAGGTGTGGAGGTGCTCTCAACACGCCCACAGGGTGTGCAGTGTCTGGGGACACCACAGACAGGGGCCCACTATGTCTGTAGTCAGCTCCCCCAGGGCAACTTCTCAGCTAGAGGTGGCCAGCGAGCCCAGTCCCTGGCCTTCAAAACCAGGCGGTGTCACAGGGTGTTCCAGAGAGTCCAGAACCACGGGGAAGGGGGTGCATGCATCTGCTAGGCCCAAGCCTTTGCCGAGTGGGAGGCTGAGCACATTTCCACAGCGCCACACTGCCGCCTGGTGGCCAGCAGGCAGCCCGCCGAGTCATTCCTCAGGGTTTCAGCCCTTTCTAAGGCAAGACACCCTGAGCCCCAGAAGAGATCCAGTCTGCAGGCCTCAGGAGGAGTCACTTGGAGCACCTTCTGCCCGTAAGGTTTGGTCTAGATACACTTCTGGTAAATCTAGTGCTGCGCCAACAGCTTGGCATTCGCAGTAACGAGGAATCCCACGTAGATTCTTCACCAGGCAACAGAGGGAACTGCAGCCACCTTAGAAACCCGCCATTGCAGTGCAGCTTGGCTCAACCTCGAGAGCCAGTCAGGGTTGGAAGACCTACTGGGGGTACCATTCATTGCCAGCTCCTCTTCAAAGGCAAGAGTTTCATTTGAGCAATTAAGCTTGTCCGCAAACCTATTAATACAGTCACTGAAAAATGTTCTGTGAGAAAAGGTTCAGGGACCAAAACAGGCAGTTCCTTTGCTAATGAGGGGAGCCCCATTGGCTTGTTGCTCAGCATGGTCAGCGCCTCATCCCAGGGTAATCCGGCTGAGGTGGGGAAGGGAGAAGCTGCGAAGTTTTACACTTTCCCGTGGATGCTTTAAAGTTTTACTCCTGCCCTGACCTGTGTAGCTCAGTTTGTTGGGTGTCGTCCAAGAAGCACAAGGTCGCCAGTTGATTCCCAGTCAGGACACATGTCTGGGTTGCAGGTTCAGTTCTTGGTGGGGGGCTGGTGGGGGGCCTTCAAGAGGCAACAGATTGATGTTTCTCTTTCACGTGGATGTTTCTCTCCCTCTCTTCCTCCCTCCCATCCCCTCTCTCTAAAAATAAATAAATTTTTTTACCCCTTAAAATAGTGCAATTACTTGAGTGCCTGCTCAGGTACCAGCGGTCTGCAGTCACAGGAAACGGGATGCAGGGGGGCCCCTACATGAATCTGGGTGCAGGGAAGATGGAAACC